ATGACACGAGACTGGAGTAAAAGACATCCATGGATTGGCACTTTATTAAAGAAGGAGCATGATAACAGCACAAACACTAACTACAACTAAACAAAATGGCTTCCCTTTATACTCTACCTTTTCAGGTGAGCATCCGGAATAGCCCAAGTATGGGGTTAACTAATCAAAATGAAACACATAACCCTCCACACAAACAAACATACAATAACATTAAAGCACATCACAAACATATACATATTTCCAACACGTACTATAAACAAACCAATAACATAAGCTTCACCCATTTCTATCTAAATTAAAACCCTCTTTATCCATACTCCCTAACCCGGCACACTGGTCTGCTCCAAGAGCTCTTAAACAGGTGATTGAGCTGCTTTCACTCTTTTGCTCCACATCCTGCAAGAAGCAACCAGGACAGGTGAGTACCTTTAAAAGTTCTCATTTCACATATGTTTAGGTTATTGATAAGTGATTAACTGCAAGCAGCTCTAACTAGTGATGGGCAGATGAAGCTTCATGAAGCACTGAAGTAGTGATGGGCAGATGAAGCCCCATGAAGCACTGAAGCTTTTCATCCAATTGGTTCACCCCAACGCGAAGCTTCATGAAGCTTCATTTGCTCTAGCAGGACACCTACTGGACGTAAAAATAATAGCTGGCATGAATTTGAAGAGTGTGGCATTTTGCACACAGCCTGTAAATGTCAACAACAAAAGGAGTGTGTAAAACACCTATAGTGTAGTGATGGCAGTATACTGTGTATATTTATGCTGGCAGTATGGAAAATGATTATTTGCGGCAAAGTTCGAACCGCTTCATGAACCAGTCACGTGGTACAGCCGGGCAGCGAGGCTTCGGACGTCATCATTTTCAGCTCCTCCCATAAATGAAGCAAGCCTCGATACGCGCTTCGCGGAAACGCCCCCTCCATTACTCGACACACGCTCCGAAGCCTCGATACAGAACGTCCCATCACTACACTGAAGCTTTCCATCCAATTGGTTCACCCCAGTGCAAAGCTTCTTGAAGCTTCATTTGCTCTAGTAGGACACCTACTGGACGTAAAAATATTAGTTGGCATGAATTTGAAGAGTGTGGCCTTTTGCACACAGCCTGTAAATGTCAACAACAAAAGGAGTGTGTAAAACATCTATATTGTAGTGATGGAAGTATACTGTGTATATTTATAGTGGCAGTATGGAAAATGATTATTTGGAAATGCTTAAAATGATCATTTACCGTGAGGTGAGGTGTGGTTGGGGTGTGGACAGTGGTTGTGCTTTTGTAACGTTGAGGTATGGACAGCTACACACTGAGGCATCAGTCCTGCCTGTTCACATTTTATTCTGTAAAAACTAAATTTTCACTGCTTTTATGGCCTTTTTAGTGGGGAGAACATAGCTAGGATTTAATGATTTAACAAATCTTTTGAATCCTTTGTCCTCCACAATGCTAAATGGCTGGGAGTCCTCAATCACCATGCTGACCAGGTCTTCATCTATTTGAGATTGTTCTCCTGAGGAAAGACAATAAAGACGAAGCACAAATACAAATATCACACACGTAACTTATTACAGCTGTATAATATTGTTATATCATTTAGTAACCTTAATGCATGCTATATTATCATTGCATTTGATGGCTCACCTGGTCTTGCTCCATCGGTGTTCCCCTTATTCTCATGCAAAGCTCTGTAGTGCCTAAGCATGGATGAGGTGTTGTTGTTATATCCCAGCTCCCTGGCACATAGCAAACACTTCACCTTGTACAAAAGTACAGACAGCTTAACATAAATTGTATTGCACCATCAGTATTATGAAAATACATCTTCTGTAGAAATTTACATACCTTGTTGGGAGGAATAAGATCAAAATGTTCCCACACAGGGGAGGACATCCTCCTCTTCTTAGCTGGCTCCATTCTCTCCTGACTTTCTCTCCTCACTCTCCTAAACCTCCAAACTGTCTCCAAACTCTCACTAACAACTCTCCATCAAACACCCACATTTTGAATGAAGTCTGAGGGGTTTATATCGCTGTCATATCTCGCGGCAAAATTCGAACCACTTCATGAACCAGTCACTTGGTACAGCCGGGCAGCGAGGCTTCGGACGTCATCATTTTCAGCTCCTCCCATAAATGAAGCAAGCCTCTATCCGGTTGTTCAGTCTGACATCACTAGCCGTGTCTGGGTCTAAACTCCGCTGCAGGTCTATATATCAAATGATCACTATGGCATTACTGAGAGTTGAAAAACTGTCTAAAGTCTTTCATCTTTAATAAAAATGATCAGCGTTCTGCTCTACCAGGTGTAACAATTGAGTTTAACTTCCAGGCATCCATGAAAACGGAATTTATGACATTTAACGGAGTTAGAAGTTAGCATGGAGTTAGCTCGCTAGCTTCTATCTAAATACAATATAGCATGTCCTGACTGCGGGGTTTTGGAAACAAATTAAAACGTACAGCTCTGCTTTCACTTCCAGCATAAATGAAGACAGAAAACTAAACAGCAGTGACGTTTGTAGGGTTACTGAAGTTGGGCTAGCTGGTATATGATGTGCTACGTGACCGCTAGAGACACAGCTATGTTAGCATAATATAAACAAGCTAACTTTTTTCCACTGTAAATGTAATCGCATGGCAGGATGCTGTAAAAGGACCAAACTTCAGCCAGGAGAACAACTGAGATAATCAATCCACAATACGAGGTTAGTCATTCATATACTGCTGCATGGGCTGGGCTGTAGTTACATCCTAAGGTTTTAAAAACTGAGCTTAAATAAATGATTAGCGGTAATAAAAGCCGAGGGAGGTCAACAGTGATCGCTGACTGTTTTAGGAGCTTTTTGAGATCAAATAGAAGAAAATGCACAACATTAAACATGTTAACAACACAAAAGCCATATTAAACGCAGACTACTTTAGACCCGGAAGTAGGATTCGTCGCGTCATCACTGAACAACCGGATACGCGCATCGCGGAAACGCCCCCTCCATTACTCGACACAAGCTTCGATGCCTCGATACAGAACGTCTCATCACTAGCTCTAACTTTGGCTCTTCTCCGACACAGGTAGGATGGCCAGTCCCACTGTCTCTTTTCCGTTACCAGCTGTCAAATTATTAATTGTATGTCAAATAACCTAATAAAAGACTCCATAAGAACTAATGTGTTTTCTTTATTACCCTATTTTAAATTCCTAATCCAACAATTAATCACTAACAATACCAACCAGGTCATGGAACCCCTGGTCTCCATTACACATCGCTTAAACACTAGACTCCAGGTACACGACGCCCAGCTGGAAACACTTCAGCTGCCCAAGATTCACAGAATTTACAGAAAATTTTTACATTTTTGTGATTTATATCGTTATTGGGATGATAGTTGTCTTATATCGGTCCCATCAGTCTGAAAGCATGCAGTTATAGTGGCACTGGCAAAGCCTGTAAAAACCCATCGTATTAACATCAAATTTTGGGATGACCTGGGAGAGAATGATAAAAAATTAAAATTTTTTCCTGCTATTCTCCTGTCCACACTTTACTCCAATAGGTGGCAGTAATACACCTGTAAGCTGGTTTGCCAACTACTATCAAGCTCAGAAAAATGAGAAGCAAGGAGGTGGAGAGCAAGTGTGGCTGTTCAAGTGGAGCAGTGTGAATAGACATGGCTGCTGTTTGATGAAGTGGACTGAAGTCGGAAGAGAGACACAAACTAAAGTATCGATCTGTGGATCTGATCCCAATGTCGGCTTCACGTCATCGATGCTTATATCGATCCGTCCAGCCTCAGCGGAAGCAGCAATGAGTTCAGTTCAGTATCTGAGAGAGTTCATCAAGGAGAGACTAACTGCTGTTTGTGAAGAAATCTTCTCAGAGGTTCAAAAAACCATCGTCCAGTATGAGGAGGAGATCAACCGTCAGCACAGACTGCTGGATATCAGCCGGAAACCCGACAGACTCACATCACAGGTATGGACATGTTTTTAACTGTTCACATTCTAATTTCCTGAACTGAAGTCAGAGCACTAACACATGAACATGGACAGAAACATCCTTTTTATTTCAGCTATTGCTGCAATTACTGATTTTTCAAGAGATCAGACATGTGAACCTCTGGTCTCTGGACTGCTCACAAAAGGAGCCTGCTAAACAACAATAACGGCTGGTTTTGAGCTAACTTTATGCCAGCTAATGTTAGGCTCAAGTGTCCTCAAACACACTTCCCCTCTAATAAACAGTTTGATTACACAAAACAAAACACTACATTTTTGGAAACATTTGTGGGTGTTTTCTCATTTTTGTCTGGTTTTTTTTTTTTTTTTTTTTTTTTTTTTTTTTTTTTTTGGTAGTACCACTTTTCAGTTCATAAGGCACATTAAGCTAAACAAAACAGTCAGATAACTCAAACTTTACTCAACTCATTCTTCTTGCGTCGTCCACTTCCCTACCATTGATTCATTAATGTTGAATTCTCTCACAGCTGCTCTATTCCCGTGTTGTTGCAGTATATTATTGACAAACCTCGTATTGTGGATGGATTATCTCAGTTGTTCTCCTGACTGAAGTTTGATCTGTTTGCAGCATCCTGCCATGCGATTACATTTGTACCATTAACTTTTATCAAGTGGAAAAAAGTTAGCGTTCATACTCCAGCTTCACTGTGTTTATATTATGCTAACATAGCTGTGTCGCTAGCGATCATGTAGCACATCATTATATACCAGCTAGTCTGACCCTAAAAAAGTCACCGCTGTTTCTGTCTTCATTTCTGTTGGAAGTGATAGCAGAGCTGTACATTTTAAGTTTTTTCTGAAATCTCTCAGTCAGAACATGCTATATCATGTTTAGGTGGAAACTAGTGAGCTAACTTCTAACTCCGCTAAATTTAATACATTCTGTTTTCATGGATGCCTGGATGTTAAAATTAATTGTTACACCTGTTAACGCAACAACACTGATCATTTTATTAAAGATGAAAGAGTTTAGACAGTGTTCATTTGATTTTGGGACCTGAAGCGGACAGAGCTTTAGACCCAGATTACTGCGCGAGGCTCCTGACTACGGTAGCTGTAATGCTCAGACAATCCATCGAGCGGTGCAGCTTCATAGCTTACCAAAGTCGTACTGAAACATTCTTTGACAGACTTTTGAGCACCATGTACCACATAAGGACTTTCTTTTGCTGCTCTCTCACTGACAGAAGAGATGGTCACATTCCATAAATGTAACTTTCACATGACCTTCAGACAATGTTTCCTGAAGTTTACATTTGTAGAACCATTAGGGAACATTTAGCCATTTTTCTTTTGTTAGCTTCTTTAACATGACCGTGTTTAAGAGTGTGGTCAGGTTTGCTGCACAAAAATGGTCACCTTGCAGTTTAGTTTGGTGGACTTTGGGTCTTTGCTCGCAGTGAGGAGCTTCAATGTCAATATATTAGTGTGTGGCTGTGAGTATGCACAACTGTTTGCCTGAGCTGCTGTGCGTGTGTTGTGCATGCATGAAACAGACGGGCTCACGATCAGTCAAATGATAGACTCTCTGGTCTGATCACCATTTATCATCACATAACTGACTTTTTCTTGTATTTATTTGTTCCTCAAGACCTCCCACAACAACATGACTGTGAGGAAGAGGAGGGTCTGGATGAGCAGCAGGTCTGTAACCAGGAGAGGAACTCCAGCCCAGACCAGGAGGAGCCAGAGCCTCCACAGGTTAAAGATGAACAGGAGGAGCTTTGCAGCAGTCAGGAGAGAGAAGCTTGGAATGAAGCAGGAGACTGATATTTTCATGGACACTCCGACTTATGAGGAAAGTTCCCACAGTGAACAAAAACTAAACAGTAAGCAGCTCCTTTCTCACAGCTCTCCTGAAGCAGAGAGCCGAGATCATGAAGAAAGCCATCACGTGGACTCAGGATTTACTAGCAATACAAAGCTAAAGAAGAGGAGACATCACAATGAGGGAGTGGACAACACCCCTGTGTCAGAAAGTAAAACTGACACAAGGAAACAGTCTGTACAGTGTGACACCTGTGGAAAAACGTTTAACTTTAAATCCAACCTTACTACACATCTGAGAGTTCACACAGGTGAAAAACCATATCCTTGTAGCACCTGTGGGAAACAGTTCAATCAGAAATCATCATTGAATACTCATGTAAGAATTCACACAGGTGAGAAGCCGTATCCGTGTAACACCTGTGGGAAAATATTCAATCAGCTGGCACACTTGAAAACTCACACAAGAATTCACACAGGAGAGAAGCCACATTGTTGGGAAAAGATTCAATGAGAAATCAACATTAAAAACTCACGAGTGCACACTGGTGAAAGGCCATATCCTTGCAGCACTTGTGGTAAAAGATTCAGTCAGAGGATGAACTTAAAGAAACACATGAAAATTCACACTGGTTAAATGTTTAATACTTTGAAAATGTGATACAGCCCTGAGTCATAGCAATGTGTTGGTGGTAGAACTCACCCTGACCAGGGCCCTATTTCAGGAAGCTGGTTTAGAAAACTCAGAGTGAAAAACGATACTCAGGGTTGAGTAACCCCGAACTGTCCAACTCGGAATATTCGGTTTCAGAAAGGCTGATAACAAGTAGTTCAATCAACGCGGAGTTGCTTTAACCCCAAGTTAAGCGCGCGCACGAGGATACATAAAGCCCTGATTAGTGGAGCACAGATTAAGCGAGTCACCATGGAGACGGAGGGAAAGAAGGCGCGGTCAATGTATTTTACAGCGCTTGACGCCGAAATTCTGATGGCAGCATATGTTGATAACATGCAAATCTTGCAGAAAAAAAGTAACACAGCCTCAGCTGCAAAAGAAAGGGAGCATGCATGGCAAAACATAGCCGACAGAGTCAATGCGTGAGTGTTAATTTAAACATTGATCGAGGGATTTCCACCCATTTAACACGTTATTTAATCATATGTTATTTTATATTTTATACATTTTATTTTGTGATGATGTGAGCACAAGTGCAACCCAACAGGCCCCAAACGTTCCTGGCAGCAAGTAAAAATGAAATATAAAAATAAAGTCCAAACAGGTAAGGTGTAATTGTATTATGAGCCATAGTGCTTGGTCTGTTTGTCCCATGTAAATCAATTAGAGGCTACATTAATTTCCTTTCTGTAAGCACTTATTGAAATTATCTGAGCACATTACAAGTACATATTTGCTTACTCTGTATGCTCAAATGTGACCCATTATGGCCACTAGAAAAAAAGCGGAGGCCCGAAAAACAGGTGGGGGTCCTCCACCACCACCACCACTCACAGAGCCTGGCCACTTGGCTTCCACATTTGTGATAATGTTGGTAGCATCACATATGATCTTCACAGTGCAGAGAACACAAATTAGCATCCATTACTATAATGAAATGATTTGTTAATTTGAAATGCTACAGGGAACTATGTACCTGTACGTTAATGCTGTGGAAAGACTTCCTGTTCACATAGTCTCCTTCATTTACTGAAGGAGCAATGATTGGAATGTGAGTGCCATCTGTACAGCCAATCACGCCTGGGAACCCTGAAAATAAATGTAAAATTTAAGTAGTAGTTCAAGTATCATCACATCATGAATTAAGTTTTGTTCATCCTGATACCTGCAATTTTGTGGAATCCCTCTTTGATAAATCTTGTGGGTCTATGACCGGGGAACACCACAGACGAGTACAGGAGACGTTTCAGTGCAACTGTAACATTCCTGACTGCCCGACAGACGGTAGCCTTGGAAACGCGCTCAGTAGTAAACCTGCTAGGGGGCAGGTTAGCTTCACGGAGTGTGTCGTCATAGTGACTCACTCAAGATGAATCTAAACTCGCTTTGTGAAACTGAAAACCCAGAGTTTTCGTTAACTCAGGGTATACTTACTCAGAGTTTGCACTAAACCGGCTTCCTGAAATAGGGCCCAGAAGTCGAATCACTGCAACACCTGAGTGAAAAGATGATTCATGTTCAAGACAGTATTTCAAGACGTTGTTTATTTGGTTTCATGCTTTATTCTTATAATTGTATCAGCCAAACTCATCCTACATTTTATAAAGGTTAAAGTTCAGTATGCTCCTGTTCAGTAGGGCCGGTGTCCTGCAAGTTTTAGATATCAACCTGGGTCAACACACCTGAATCACATGATTAGTTTGTTACCAAATCTCTGGAGAACTTCAAGACATGTTGAGGAGGTAATTTAGCCATTTGAATCAGCTGCAGGACCTGGCCCTCGAGGCCTGGAGTTACCCACCCCTGCTCTAATGTGTGAATGCAGCATGAGAGTGTTCTCTTATTCAGCTGAAGTTTTTCTTTGTTTCTGATTTTTACCCACTACAATGCCAGGAGTAGTGCGCAAAAGTAGGACTGACTAACCAGTCAGTGGTGAGAGAGAGGTCCTTGCAAGCTCAGAATGAAAGGTTTGCTTTGGTTTAAATTTTGTTATGATTAATTTACCTGAATAAATATGCTGGACAAGTGAACCACAAAAAAAAGTGGAAGCTCACTGATGAAGATTTGAAGAGATTGGAGAGAGTTACAAGCTTTCCTTCTTTGGGAATTCACTTTGACTCTACAGTTAACCTTTGGAGCTGGAGTGTAGTGAAGAGGTGATATCAGTGCGGATGGGACGCTATAAAAAGATGTTTCTATATTGAGTCAAGCTTCTGGAGCACAGATGTTTTCAAACACAACTCTGAAGCGTGGTTCAAAACACCCATGTCACGTGATCACGACTAACAGAGGTTTTGGTGGACTTCACCTCAGTTTCAGTAGGTGGTGTACCTGCTGCTTATAGACATAGAGAAACAGACAGGTGTGTGAGCTCCATTTACTCATATCAGCAGAGAGAAAGTAGCACATGGTGCTGTCAACTCATAAAATATCTCAGTAAAAACTCTGCTTTCAAGGTGAAAATTAAAAGTTAAAAGAAAAAGTTTTCAGCTCTGACTTTGCCTGGTCTCCATTTTTTCCTACTTTGAATAGAAAACATCATTTTCATCCTTTGCTAGCTTATGTGGTTGCAATTCTACTAGGTTTTAAAAATAGTTATGCAAAACAAAGTGTGCCTGCTCCGATAAGCCTTAAAGCAAGCCTATTCAAATGGCGGCCCACAGGCCAAATGCGGCCCAGAAGCAACCTGTGAGTGGCCCTGCCTGTGGTCCTGGCAGAAACACAGAGAAATGGTCTGGATATGAAGCGTGTCTGTTTGTGACGGATGGGGCTCCATCCATGGCAGGAAAAGTGAGTGGTCAGCGAAATATTTATTTTAATTTGAAAGGGAATTATCAATATGTTTTTTTTGTTATTATTATTATTATTATTATTATTTCAAATGTGCAAAAAATAGTTTAGTTATAGCTCCCTTTTTTTTTAAATGGACCTTTTGGTTTGCATTTGTGAGAGGTCACCAGATTTACAGGGGAATAGGAATAAAAAAAAATACTTGTTTTTCAGTACAGTTGTGTGGGTTTGAAATTGATCATGATCTGCTGCTTACTGGCTTCAAAAAAAATATCTGGCCCAGATAAATTCCTCGGTTTGAAAATCTGGCCCAACTAACTTCATAGTTGAATAGCCATGCCTTAAAGGGTTAACCCTCTGGGGTCCAGGGTGTAGTTGGCTGTTTTTGACTAATTTTAATTTTCCCTCTATATTTCACCTTTAAAAACAGTTTATCTTCCCTTGTTTGGTATCATTATTTTCAGCACGACCTATGTGAATTTACAGTTTTTTTTCATTTTGACATACTGTATTAACACAATTGATCTTAAATCAGACAAAAAACATAAAATCAGAGTAGAAAAAAGTGATACTTTTTACTGTAACAACCACAAACATGTTTAACGAATCATTTTCATAATTTGAAATGCAAATATAAATCGTAAATATTAAAAATCTATGCATAAGTTTTGCAGACAACAAAGTTATATGCAGCTATTTACCCAAAAATGCAGCCAAGGCTTTTTTGAATTAACTATTTTCAGACTATTTATTTGTTCTGCATTAAATAAGATTCCACACAAATTATTTGTGTCTCTCTTAAGAGAGAGAGAGAAAGTGTCCTGTTCTTTGTCGTTAGCTTGGCTCTGTCCCTAGTTCTCCTCTCTTCCAGGTTTAAAGCCACCGTTGACTTCGATGCCTGTTTCAGTGATGTGTCGACAGGACAGGAAATCATGAAAAAGGATTTGTGTTTTCAACCTTTGGAGCTCAGATTGAAAAACAAACCAGTTATTAAAAACAGCCTGGTGTCTACACTATCAGCCAGTTTCACTTCCTTAATGAAGCCAACAAGATATTAGTGTGTGCTGAGTGCTTTTCTGATGCACAGCAATCCTTTCCTGGAGTTATTTCCAGCCGTTTGTCATCCCTCTGCGCTTTAGTGTTTTTTGTTGTCATTTCTGTGTTTGTCCACCAGGTGTCTCCCTCAGCTCTGTGTGACAGTTGTCTTTCAGTCTCACTTTAATGTTTTCTGCAGGTTCAGTTGTGTTTAATCATTTTCTTGCATATGAAATCAAGTCAGACACACAGAGCTCGTGAACTTACTGCCAACAAACTAAAATCAGTGCAAAAGCACCAAGGAGGAAAACTGCTTCATTTATTCTCTCAGATTAGCTTCACATTGTCAGATCCTGGAATGAACACAAGCCTTTTTCCTTTTTTAAAAATAACCTGAGTTTGTTCACATTAAATACAATGAACTCCTCATTAATTATAATAATGAAAAGTAAACTTCCTGCAGTGTTTGCTGAGTCACAAACAGCAGACAAACAGATCAATGCAGATGAAATGACACATTCTTCACAAATGCACAAAGTGAGAAAAAAATCTTTGTGATCAATAAAGAACTACTGACTTCTCCGTGAAGTAGAAGAGAAACAACATAAAATTATTATTCAAAGAAATGAAGCTCTTGTTTTTTTATTCTACGAGTGCACTGACGTGACACTGTGATATTTTCAGTATACAGTTACATCCACACAAGACATTAGAGCTGCTGTTCTAACCTTCATTTGAATCCAAACGATTAATAGCACCAGCATCTCTCCCTTACCCAGTATCTACATGTCCATAAAGTGTGTTCTCGCCCTCATAGGGAGGCCGCAAAGAGACTAAAGCAGCCAGAAGTTGAACCTGGATTTTTTTAAATCCATAGTCAGATGATTGTCCATTGCGCCACAGGGAAGTGTTCTAGACAGACAGGTTTGAGCTGATTATGCACTCGTTCTGATAACATGTCACCCTACAACAAATAAACACTCCTAGTAGCAGCTACAACAGGCAGAAGACATTTGCTGTTGGATTTCTTGTGCCACAGACTTTGTAATTCACAATAAGTGACTTATTAAAACATTTTCCTCCTGAAAGTGAAACTCTGTCAAAAGAAGTTTGAAGGTAATCTTTATTTAGTTTATTCTGCATTTAGCAGACACAGCTGGATTTTTTTATATTAAAAAACAACAACAACAGCAGCAAAGTCCAAGTACCATGCCTGAAAATCATTACACGGTGTGACTGTGAGACAATATATTCAAGTATATATAAAAACTAAAACCAGATGTTTGTCTGAGACTTAAAAACCTGAATGAACACACTCAGCTTTGGTTACTCTTGCTTTGATTAAAAAAGAAAAAGACAAGGCTTCAGTAGAACAATAACAGAACTCGATCCCTGGATAATAAACAAAGAACAAGTCTACACAACAGGAGCAGACTCCTGCAAAAGGCTGCTCCTCTGTGTCGGCTCTACCACCAGCACACTGCTATAACTCGCAGCTGTCCCCATATTCTCTAAGCATGAAACAGTTAATCAGTGTGAATTCTCCTGTGCCGTATTAACTGCATATTCCAGATGAAACTTTCCCCACAGATGCTACAACAATGGTGCTTCTCGCCTGTGTGAACTCTCGCGTGAGATTTTAGAGCTGATTTTTTACTGAATTCTTTTCCACAGGTGCTACAAGGATACGACTTCTCATCTGTGTGAATTCTCACGTGAGCTTTCAATGCTGATAGGTCAATAAACTTTTCCCCACAGCTGTTACACGAGTACGGACACTCGCCAGTGTGAATTCTCATGTGATCCTTTAACTGTATCTTCCGAATGAATCTCTTCTCACAGGTACCACAAAAATATGGCTTCTCACCTGTGTGAATTCTCCTGTGCCGTATTAACTGCATATTCCAGATGAAACTTTCCCCACAGATGCTACAACAATGGTGCTTCTCACCTGTGTGAACTCTCACGTGAGATTTTAGAGCTGATTTTTTACTGAATTCTTTTCCACAGGCGCTACAAGAATACGACTTCTCACCTGTGTGAATTCTCATGTGATTTTTCAAGCGTGTCAGCTGACTGAATTTTTTGCCACATTTGTTACAAGGAAACCGTTTCTCTCCTGTGTGGACTGTCAAATGTGCAGCCAGTAAGCATTTATACTGAAACGTTTTCCCACAAGTGTCACACTGTAGAGACTTTTCCCTTGCTTCAGTTTGACTCTCTGAAGCAGCAGTGTTCTCTGCTAAAGCATCAGCCTCCTGCTTCAGTCCAAGCTGCTCTCCCTCCTGACTGCTGCAGAGCTCCTCCTGTTCCTCTTTAATCTGTGGAGGCTCTGGGTCCTCCTGGTCCAGACTGGAGTTCCTCTCCTGGTTACAGACCTGCTGCTCATCCAGACCCTCCTCTTCCTCACCCAGACCCTCCTCTTCCTCACCAACATGCTGCTGTTGGAGGTCTGAAGAGACAAATGCAGAAAAACAAGCTGTTGAGAAAACATTTGATCTGACCCCTCAGTAGTGATCAGATTTGATGAGGATTTAGCTATTCCAATTCCATTCTCAAATCACTTAACGATTCAAATTTTTAATGGTTCTCTTATTGTTATTAGGTTCTCACTGGCTCCACTTTGAGAGTCCCGACTATCTCCAAGCAGCATATCAAAGGCATTACATACATGCAAATTAATTGTATGTGTGTGCATGTCGAAGGCATTTCATAACTGTTCTTTAAAGTAATGCAGTATGCTACTATGGGAGGGGTGTGGTCTCTGCCCCGCTGCAGTGGAAGGGTGGTGCAGTGAACTCTTGAGGCGGTGTCAGGGCAGCAGAGGGGACAGGTGTGTGTGCTGACTAATGACTCTCTCCATATATATAGTAACAGGTGAGACTGACAGGAGTGTGTGCAGTGCAGGAGCTGCGGAGGGAGTTGACTCCTGGCTCGAGAGTGCCTTAAACCCAAAACGCGAACTGCTAAACCAAGCAAAATAAAAGAAAACAACACGTCAAACACTGTGTGTGTCAGGTCATTGTTACAGTTATTTCCACCTGGAAGGAGTTATTCGTTACACTGTTCATTACATTACTTTTGGATTTATATAAACTTACAGGCTACAGCCCCACACACCAACACAAATCCCTATCCTCATGCAGGACACACGTGATCTTTCTCTTAGTATTTAGGTTAATTTCAAGTACAGTCAAGGATCAAAGCCAAATAATATATTTCATATAGATATCTGCAATCTAAACTATGGCATAAAAAATTATTTTGTCCTCTTGGAAGACTTTCTGATTTTAATCAAAGGACAGTTTTGTGCTGTTGAAAAGAGAACAAGATGTTTTGATGGTGTAGATTTTATTTAATAATAATAATACTTCAGTGTCCAACCTAACAAGCCTCTGTTCACTCTGAAAGTGTTTTTTCTCTTTATAATATTTATTATTGTACATTAATGAGACAAAAGTACTTCTTATCCAATTAATCCATTATTTGATAGAATAATCAATAGCTGCAGGCCTAATTCATTTTTATTACTACCATCACAGTTTACATACCTATTCTGTGTGACATTATATCAGGTTCACAGATGGTCTCCAGCAGTCCAAGCTGCTCTCCCTCCTGACTGCTGCAGAGTTCCTCCTGTTCCTCGTAAATCTGTGGAGGCTCTGGGTCCTCCTCTTCCTTACAGTTGTGTTGTTGTAGGGGGTCTTGAGGAACAAAGATTCAGATTTATCACCAATCAACCAAACACTGAAGAATCTGAGCTTGAACAGCACAGAGTTAAAAACACGTCCATACCTGTGATGTGTGAGTTTCTGTCGGGTTTCCGGCTGATATCCAGCAGTCTGTGCTGACGGTTGATCTCCTCCTCATACTGGACGATGGTTTTTTGAACCTCTGAGAAGATTTCTTCACAAACAGCAGTTAGTCTCTTCCTGATGAACTCTCTCAGATACTGAGCTGAACTCATCGCTGCTTCAACTCAGGCTGGGCGGATCGATACAAGCATCAATAGAAGCGATACAGACGTTGGTATCAGATCCACACTGATGTGACGGGATCAATACTTTAGTTTGTGTCTCTCTTCCGACTTCAGTCCGCTTCGTTAAAAAGCAGCCATGTCTGCACACACCGCTCCACTCAAACAGCCACACTTGCCCCTCCACTTCCTTCCTTCTCCTTCTTCTGAGCTTGATGGCAGTTGGCAAACCAGCTTACAGGTGTATTGCTGCCACCTACTGGAGTGAAACGTGGACAGGGAAAAAATGAGAGACGTCTGTGTCGGGCTCGTTTTGATGACCTTCGTGTTGACGTTCGGCCGTACCACGTGACTGATTCAGTAAACGCTTTGTGCGTTTGGTGTGTGGCTCTCTCTACAAAGGAGATTTAGGGCCACGTTGAGAAAAAAAACCCTCTGGCATTTCTTAAATTTGTGACTTTATTGCACGTTTGTTTTCAGTCTTTTTGAACTTCGTTTTTTGCGATGGAAGCGAGATGGGACAGCCCACCCACTCCGACCCCGAATGAGTTTGCACATACTAATACCTTTGTGCACTCTTTTGTAGGAGGGCTGGATTTCCCTGAGGCACACTCTGAAAATCAGGGTTCAAGATAAACCTATTTGTTTTACTTCAATCCAACTTTATTTATAGAGCACTTTAAAAACAACATGTTTGACCAAAGTACTTTCCAGTGAAAAACAGTGATAAAAGTTAGAAAACCAATCATTACACAGAAAAAGAAAATACAATAACAATAAAATAAATAAATAAAAAATAGTAAAATTGAATAAAATAAAATATACAATAAATAAAATGAACAAACTAAAGAAGATTAAAAGTGACCAAAAACTGAATGGTACTACTAATCAAATGCCTTGGAAAAAAGTTTTTCAAGTGATTTAACAATCTCAAGTGTTGGGGCCAGCCTAACATGGAGGGGCAAGTTATTCCTTAATTTTGGGGCCACAACAGCAAAAGCTCAGTCCACCCAGTGTTTCAGTCTCAACTTGAATGAACTCAGCAGTGACTCCATAACACACAAGACCAAGTCCAGCATAGAGCGGCTGAGTGAATGTGGTCTGGACTCTGTGGAGGAGAGTCATGGTTTCAGAGACTCTGTAGAAAGACAGAATACCTGCTCTGTGATCCAGGTACACTCCTACTCTGGAGGACCGAGGACCTGAGAGGACAGTTTGGACTTTGTTGTAGTAAAATATATAACTGTCTGTGTCACAACGTAATGCCCAAGATTTCTCATTTAGTCCAAATCCACAGTGATATAAACCTCCTGTTCTGCTGAAATTCTTGTATGCGACCGCTACATAAACTGCTCCTCCTCTGCACTCCACCTCCCAGTAACAACGTCCAGTCAGACTCTCTTTGCTCAGCACTTGTTCATATTCAGTGAATCTCTCTGGATGACAAGAGTAAAACTGTCCGCCTTCTTTTAATGTTGCTTTTCGGTTCCCTTCAGATAGTACGAGCTCTTTATGTGCTGTGTTTGGATTCAGTGTAATTTTATGCAAATATCTTAAGAATCCAGCTCTGGTCTCTGGCTCTGCTGCTGAGTGTAAAACATCATTCTTCCTTTCTGCTGCAGCTTTGACTGTTTCATGGCATTTATGTTCATCCATTATGCAGACCTAACAGATACTCTGTTGATCAGTAAAAAAAGAAAATCTTCATCACCTTATCATGACGAGAGCCCGAGTTCTCCTGGAATTCAGAGATCCATAGTGAGATGTTCTTTGTTGTCCTCTTTGCAGCAGTAAATATGCTGGTTTCTCTTTCTCCACAGAAAATCAAAGTGTGTTTCAGCTTCAGATTCTGAGTTTTTCCTCTCTGGTCTTTGAAGTTTTGAGATTACACCAGTCCTTCAGCTGGTAAATATGTCAGAGCAAAGGAACCAGAAAATTTGCTGTCAGTGGTCAGCTGTTGAACAAAAAAAAAATCAAGCCAGATGTTACAAGCATTTTTTTAAGCATGCAAAGAAATAAAACTCCACAGGAGATGAAACATTAATATGGAGAATAGTTCACTGAAAGAAACTTTCAATACACCAAGAAAACTAAAAAAGACAAAACAGACAAAAAGGAGGAGATCAAGCTGTAGAGACACAGACCAGAGCACAACCGAAAGTGAACTTCCTTACATCAAGGGCTCTCAGTTTTATAGAGTGGTTCACTCACCCACTCTTTATGTCAAATCCCCCTCATGATCTCATCAGAAAAACAGGGACTTTCGTGCCCTCTGATTACCACCATTACTCTGAGCCATAAGACTTGATTATCTCACTCCCTTGCAAAAACATCTCCCATTAACAGAGCACAGTCCATCTTCCATTATGTTCAGAGTGAAAATGTGGGAATAAAAAGCTTTAATGAAATCCCATAAATAAAACAAACAGACATTATATATTGATCACTCATGCTCAGAACAGTCTATATGTTGTGAGATGCGATCCTTCTCAAAGACGTGACGCATGAAATGAGAACAACAATAAATTGTCATCTAGTGCTGATCTATGTGATTTTCCAGTGTTCGATCAAGTTTACTGAGAGTTCAAACTGAAGGGGACTTTACAGTGCTTTCATTGGTATATCATCAGTAATAAACACAATGGTTTTACGCTCCACACATCATATTTCAAAATGGAAAGGGTTAAAGGTCAGAATGGTTATATTGATGAAATACAGAGAGCTGGAGAGAACGGAGTGACTATCAGTCTGGTTTCCTGTGAAGAAAAACAGGAAAACAGATCACAAAGTTTTTATAGGTTTCATTCAGAATTAATAAGCCAAGACTGTAAAAGAAGAAAAAATCTGTGTAAAAGTGAATCATTTTTCATAGTAGTTATCTTTTCTTCTGTACACATTTCTCAACTACTGCATTGCACTTGCACTGGTGAAAAAGTTCAAGGGTGACCATTACACCGACAGGCTTCATTTGGCTTGGGTTTCATCTGGAGAAGCTTTCTTTACCTTCTGTGGTAAATATTAATACTTTAGCTCAGTATCATTTTATATACAGACGACTATTATTGGAGTATCTTGTGTCTGCTGCATCCAGATAAATCAGGAATATTTAACAGACTCGTTTTGAAATACTAGTGATTTACGTGACTTAAGCTTTACATTTTAGTA